TCTGTCGGGGAGAAAAACCATAATTCGTTGGGGAGAAATTTTTTTTAATGTATTTTGTACGTATTAGTAGACTCTAAAATCGATTAAATAAGCCTTTAAGCGACGCTCGATCACGCCCACTTTGCTCTTGTCAAGGAAATCTTCCCCCTTGTCGCCACCCCTGGTAAGCAAAAACATATGGGAGCTAGAGTAATAATAGTTATTCGGGTTTAAAACAATGTTATTTAGAAAGCGCATGATGTGGACGTACAGTACGGATAGGCCTATGCTTAAAGTCTATACAACCATTATCAATTAATTTCAAAATATTATAATTATAATTGGGGATGGGGGAAGGAGGGCGCAAGTGGGCGCAATTTTCTACTCTTGCCCCCCCCCCCCGGCGCCAAAACCTCTAGCTACGCCACTGTAGAGACTTTGGTTATTTGTGCCTTATAAATTGACCTATTATTATTATTATTATTATTATTATTATTATTATTATTATTATTATTATTATTATTATTATTATAAAATATAGATTTTTTTAGTTCTCTTTTTGAGTTTAGCAACCAAATGTTGATTGACGTTTGTATACGCGCGTCTGTAAAGTTTCCTTGAAAGAATTGACTCATCCGCCTTCATGAATTCTGTATTTAGGCATATTGGGGGGAGGCCCTCTTTATGCTGAACATGAAGATGTACAGTAAGTGTAACTGATTGGCTTACAGTAATCCTTCATACTAGCTTAATATAACGAAAACAATAAGATACTTAATTAGGCCATTTTTTAAAAATAAAGTTCTCTGAAGGTTAATTACAGAATTTTCAGTACACTGTAGTTAATGTGTTTAGGTTGTAAAAAACTGTATTGAATAAAAAAAAAATCTTTCGAATAAAAAATGCTTTCGATTGACATTAGGAATTAGTCATTTGTGAAACAAAACCATAGGCTATGTCAAGTGTTATATTGAACATTGGCGGATTCAAGGGGGAGCGCACTCAGCACGTTCCCCCAACCTCAGTCAGGGAGTGTAATTTCTGGCCATCTAGAGGTGCCATAATCAAATTTTCGTACCTCAGCTCCACCATGCTTGACAGGTGCTCTGTCTGTGAAAGTACCCACCCCCGGACCCCTCTATAGGCTTACTCTGGATCCGCCACTGGAAATTACAACAAATATAAAGTCATATTACAGTAACTTGATGCCTATAAAATAACTAATCAAATTCAACTTTGTGAAATATCCGTAGCTTCCAGGAGGGGCCTTCGCCCCTGGACCTCCACAGGGGGCCCTTGGCGGCCCCCTGGCCCCCGGCCTAGATGCTCGCTTCGCTCGCGTACTGAATTTCCTGTAATGGCCTCCCACCCCACTAAAATACACAAAAATACGACAAAGACCATTTTTTTATATTGAAGCGCATAAGGATCACATACACACTCTCGCATTGCATACCGTGGCAAGATATGCCCATTCTAGTATTTTTAGCTCATTAAAAAATGATTTTCGTTGTAAGAAAAAAAACTAAAATGCCGACCCTCAATTTCGAAAATTTTGGGTCGATCTGGAGTGGCCAACACAATATATTTTTTTATTTGGCCTTACAGTAAAAGTTGGGAGGGGGAGGGGTGCGGCACAAAACAAATTTGGGTTGTTAACTGCGGACATGCTTCCCATATCCACGGATACAGGATTTATAGGTAGTGGGGCCTGAACGCCTCACCATGGTTGGTGAACAACTTTTTTGGTACCTGGATACCCGGAAATATGCTTGTGACCTGTAGAACCGCTAATCAATAACCCCACCCCCCACACCCTACTCTCAAACGGCAGCCACTAAATTTAAAGTCAGCATGGGGGATAGATTCTATACACACCTCAGCGAACATTAATAACAGATTCATATATTTTATGGGTATCGGTAATATATTTTTAGAATGTACTTTAATTGAGAGAAAGTGCTCTGACCGCTCTGGTCCATGATGTCAAATGGTCGGGTGGTTAAAAATTCGGATGGCAAAAGACTGGAATTGTTAAACTTGGATTTTGGACAATGACAATAAAAAAAAAACGCATGATCACCAACTCCAATATGGTATATAAACAGTTAAATTGGCAATGGCAATCGTAATGTATGCACTTGAAACAAAACGTGTACGAGGTACCAGTAGATTCAGTTCGTGCGGACACCAGTTCGAGCGATTCATTTTATGACACGCTCTCGCAGGTGTCTCCTATATTTTAATTCTATGTTGCCAATGCAACAACGATTCGTATGCTGTTTTGATGACCCTACTACACTAAGCTATTAACTAGCGGTTCTTTTTCTTTATTTTGATAGTAAAAAGTTCGAGCAAAACATTTTATGACACGCTATCGCCTGCAGCTTATACTTTAATTATATATTGCCAAGGCAACGATGTGTATGCTGTTTTGATGACATACTAAGCTATTAACTAGCGGTTGGTTTTTTTTTTTTTTTTTTTTTTTTTTTTTTTTTTTTTTTTTTTTTTAGTCATGTATATAATGCTGATGTTAATTAGCATTGATATCAAAAACAAATTGCAGTAATATGAAAACATTTATACTGAATTAGGAGTAGATTTACAAAGTAAGTATTGATTAAAAAAATGTAATCTAGATATAATGGACTCAGACAGATTAATTGATATATTTATTTTTTTTAAATGTAAAAGACTATGTCCCAACTAATATCCGAGCCCGTGTTAGTTCTGACATTTAATACACTGCAGTCCTCCAATCCTAGTTATATCTCCTGGCTGTTGATTTTCTTAACCTCTACC